TGTATATTTTTTTTAATATATATATATATATATATATATATATATATATAACAACAATTTATGTACCATTCATTGGTTCATTTTTATAGAAAAACAGTGATGGAGAATAGAGACACAGCATTCCACCTAATAGAGATACAATTTTTGAGGCTTATTCCATTGTCGCCTTCATTGAACAAAAGAAAATAAGGAAATAGATTAATTGCTTGATATGAGTTTCATGTTATACTTACTTTAATTAAGTGTGTATGGTTTACATATACATCTATGGAACTTAATTTGTTAAATATAAATTTGTCAATTTTTAATAATTAGGAATAGTTATATTATTATTTAATTTCTATATTAATTAACTCCTATATTAATAAACTAATTATTCAATATTACTCTTCAACAAAAATCATAATTCACATAATTATTATATAATTTTTCTAATTTATATTGTGTTTTTTGATTGAACTTTTATATATAGTTAATTAGGAACACTTTAGTCATTTTTCTCAAGAACTTTAATAATTTCCAGAAAATTTTAAAAATATACTTTTAAAAAATTTTAATCTAGAGTTTAAGACTAGGAGTATAAGAGTAGATTTTGGATAAAATAATCATCATATATTTTGTTACTATAGCTTAAAATGAGATACGTATATTATATTTACAAATAGGGCTAGCTAGTTGATCCCACAATGTTACATGTGAGGATAGGTTAATGGTTTCGCTTGGTTGGATGGCTTTGAGGTATACGACAATTGTATGCTATGAGTTGTTGCATGATGGTGGCTATCATAACGTTACTGACATGTCATTTAATTGAAATATTTGTTTGTATAGTTTTTCTAATTTATATTGTGTTTTTTTATTGAGCTTTTAAATGTAGTTTAGTCATTTTTAAATATAGCTTTTAATTAGGAACACTTTAGTCATTTTATGCAATAACTTTAATAATTAACTTCTAAAAAAAATTTCAAAATTTACTTTTAAAAATTTCTAATTTAGAGTTTAAGATTAGGAGTATAATAGATTTTTGAATAAGATAATCATCATGTTTTTGTTATTATATTTTAAAAAGAAATATGTATATTATATTTTCAAATTGACAACCCACAATGTTACATATGATGAATGGTTAATGGTTTTGCTTGGTGTGCTGGTTTTGAAGCATAAGGCAGTTGTATATTATGTGTTGTTGCATGATGATGGCTATCATAGGGTTACTAACAAGCCATTTAATTGAAAATTTTGGTAGTATTAGTGATTAATATTTTGTCCTCAATTAGTTGAACATCAGTTTCAAGTGTTGAGACAACTTTCATATGATTTGTACCTAGTCTAATTAGTAATTGGTCACTCAATTTATGTTTAAGTGTGCCTACATAAGTATCAAGGTACCCTAACTTCACATAAACATCTTAATATTAACGAGGCTAGCTACTCAAATATTAATTCACTAAATTACACTAATTTTGCATTCATGCATGCTCTTAAATATTAGGTAATTGGTCGTGTGCAATGTATTTACTTTACAACACTATATAAAAACAACTTATAAACCAACAACCCCCATTGCACAAAAAACTCTACTTTGCAGCTCTCAATATTCCATTTGTTGTTTCATTTTTAAAGAAAAATAGTGATGGAGAATAGTGACACAAGCAACTCTCCACCTACTAGAGATGAAGTTTTTGAGGCTCATTCCTTGTCACCTTCATTGATCAAAAGAAGAGAAGGAGGTAGGTTGCTTGATTTGAGTTTTATGTTATACTTACTATATATGTGTTTGTTTTACATATACACGCATGGAAGTTAATTTGTCTTCTTTTATTTCTTTTATAAAAGGGAGTTAAACCGCGTTTATTTCCAAAGATTCGAGCTCAAGAAGAAAATCATGTTGATGGACAATTTGGAAAATCAAGCCAAATTTTTAATTAATTTGGAGTTAATTCATTTAATTAACATTATAAAATCATTGTTATTAGCAATTTCAACTGTAGAGACAATTTTTATATCATTTATAGGTGGTCTAATTAGTAATTGGTCACTCAATTTTTATTTTAATAGTGTGCACGTACGAGTATCAGTGTATCCTAACTTTACATAAACAACATCCGAAGCTACTTAAATGTTATTTGGTAATTTGTTGTGTGTCATCTTTTTTGAATATATATATATATATATATATATATATATATATATATATGAGGAGAGATCAATTTTACTCCAGGAATAAGTCAACCTAGACTTATTCCGTTCAATAACTTATGTTTTATATCAAATTGCAACGATCCAATCGTTCAATTTAAAGTTCTTAATGTATAAAAAATTTGAAAATCATTTGATACTTCGTTTCATTAATTCAAATCAATGTATAAAATGATTTTACGATTATCCGTCAATTTGAATTAATGGAATAAAATATCAAATAATTTTTAAATTTTCTAAAAATTTGCAGATTTGATCTATGCATTAAGAACTTTAAATTGAACGGTTAGATCGTTGAAATTTGATGTCGAACATGAGTTATTGAACAGAGTAAGTTTACCTATAGTAAGTCTACGTCTAAGTAGACTTACTCCTAGAGTAAAAAGATCCCTCTTCTGTATATATATAACAATAGCTTACGTACCATTTGTTGTTGTTTCATTTTTATGAAAAAATAGTGATGGAGAACTGTGACATTAGTAGCTCTCCACCTACAAGAAATGTAGTTCTTGAGACTTATTCCAATGTCGCCTCCACCTAACAAAAGAAGAGAAGGAGGTACCTAGGTTTCTTGACTTGAGTTTCATGTTATACTTTTAAGTGTATTTGGTTTACATATACATGCTTGGAACTTAATTTGTCATATATAAATTTTGTCAATTTTTAATAATTAAAAATAGTTATATATATTATTTTAATTTCTATATTAATTAAGTCACATATTAATAAAAATAATTGTTCAATATTACTCTTCAAAACGAAAAATTATAGTTCACATAATTATTTTATAGTTTATCTAATTTATAGTGCTTTTTGGTGGAGCTTTTATATATAGTTAATTAGGAACATTTTATTTTCTTTTGCAAGAACTTTAAACATTTCTAAAAAAAAATTCAAAATTTAATTTTAAAAAATTCTAATCTACAGTCTAATACTAAGATTATATAGGTATATTTTTGAATAAAATAATCATCATATTTTTATGACATTTTAAAATAAAATATTTCTTTTATATTTATAAATATTGAGAAGTTAATAGGGTAATTAGCTAACCCCACAATGTTACATGTGATGAATGATTAATGATTTTGCTTAGTGGGATGATTTTGAGGCATAAGGTTACTACTTGATGATTGCAATCATAGGGCTAGTGACACGCCATGTAATTGAAAATTTTGGCTTTATTAATGATTGATGTTTTTGTCCACAACTAGCTAGTTGAGGATCAGTTTTAAGTGTGAAAATAACTTCCATATGATATATACGTTACTTAATCACTACAAAAAAATTATAATATAATGACAAATTTTATAGTGATACAAAAATTATTACTAAAAATTACTTTTATTTATACAATAAATATAATATATATTATTTTATTGTTAAAAATGTAGATATAAATTATAATAACATGTAAAATATGTTATTAAATTTCATTTAAAATTAATATTAAAATTATGTTAAATAAATATATATCTACATATATCTATAGTGACTTTTTATTGTATATAACATTTTTTTTTGTAGCGAATTAGTAATTGATCACTAAAATTTCGTTTGTGTACATGCACGAATATCTGGATAACCTAACTTCACAATAGCATCTTAATATTCACGAGGCTACCCAAATTTTAATTCACTAAAATACACTAATTGAGCATTTCATGCATGTTCTTAGATATTTGATAATTGGTCATGTGTAGTGTATATGCTTTGTAACAATATATAACAACGTACATACTAGCACTCCATTGCACAAAAAAGTCTAGTTTGTATCTCTCACTATCCATTTGTTGTTTCATTTTTATAGAAAAATAGAATGGAGAACTATGAAATGAGGACCATCTTTGGTGACACTAGCAGCTTTCCACCTGCAAGAGACGTAGTTTCTGAGGCTTTCATTGTTGCTTCGAATGAACAAAACATGCTTGACGAAAAGAAGAAGAGGAGGTAGGTTGCTTGATTTGAGTTTAATGTTATACTTATTATCAATGTGTTTGGTTTACATATACATGCATGAAATTCAATTTGTCTTCTTTTATTCTTTTGTAGAAGGGAGTTAAACCGGGTTTATTCCCAAAGATCCGTGCTTAAGAAGAAAATCATGATGGAAAATTTGGAAAATCAAGCCAGAATTTTGGAGGTGATTCATTTAATTAACATTTTAAAATCTCTATTATATTAGCAATGTTTTTTGAAATTTTATTTTTTAACCAAGTTGAATATGTATGGTTGTGTGATTTATGCAGTTAACTTTATTTAATATGATAAGAATTTTGTTATTGTTGTAATATTATTATGAATCTCAGTCTTAATAGTTGTAAGATCTTTGTCTTGTAAGTTGATCGTCATGGAATCAATTACGATGATAATTTACGCTTGTGAGAATAAGATTTTATATTAACCTTTACACTTGTAGCTATGCAGTGGATCACAACTTTCAAACATTTCTTTGATATGATGAGGATGTAATGCATTTATACATTTCTATGTATATACATATGTAGGATGAAATGGCTAGACTTGAACAAGAAGAGGCTTTCTACAAAAATGAGAAGCAACGCATGAAGGTGGAAGAACAACGATTATACCAGGAAATAGAATTTTTTGAGAAAGAGAGATTGCTTAGACAAGGTAACTAATATTAATACTTCGCATGTAATCCCCATATTATCTTTGAAATGTGTTTTTGTTTTCCCACAATAAAGTTGTTTGTTGTAGACCAAATGCAAAACTTAAGTGGAGATAATTTCACTAATTAATTTTATGACACTCTTTTTTCCAGCCGAAGATGAAAAGAACATGGGAGAAGCAATTAAGATGAGGGAACTCCAAGCTAAGAAAGATGAGCAAGTAGATTCCTGGTTGCTTAATTAGAAAAGCACTACTATTCTTACGTGAATTAGTGGTTTCTTTTCGCATTTCTCTGTGCAAGATGTTGGTTTCAACAAGACAATAAAAAGTGGTCCTCGTATTCTTAATTAAACCTACATTCTAGATATATTCTTAACCTTGACAATACCAAGTTCCAATAAAAATGATTCTTTTTGTGGGGCTTGGGGGTGGGTTGGAGAGACTAATAATAAAGAAAAGAAAATTACAAGTTGATAGTACCAAGTTCCGATGAAAATGACTGTTTTTTTTTGTGGGGGAGAGTAAATGGAGACTAATAATAAATAAAAGAAAATTAAAATTTTAGAAACTACACCCCACTTACAATAGCTACAAATTGGTGGTGCAAATCAACTAAGAGAACTTTCAAATCAAGTAGTGGGGTACCAAAGTTTAGTCTTAACTTTGCTAATAAGTCAGCACAAATATTACTTTCTTTAAGAGTATGCTTAAGAACAACATCAAGATTTTCTCATCAAAGATCATGTGGATATTTTTTTTTTTCAACTTGTATGAAAGGAAAAAGTATAAAAATAGGGAGAAATTGTATTTGTATCGGTTTTTCACTCGCGTTCATTTTAGTGGTAACTTTTTCTTTAATTATAATTTATTATTATACATTTGTAATTATTTTCATATCAAATCTTCTTTAACAAACAATGTTGCTAAAGATAAATGAACTTGTTTTCCCATGTAATTCCTTCTCGGTCCTTTGTAAATGGATGATAGTATTGACCATGTCATATAAAAAGATTAATAATTTCACTTTAAATATAAAATTTTAACATAATTTATCATAGAAATTATAGAATTTTGTACATGTGTATATTTTATATGAGATTTCCTTATACATCCCTTGCCCAAAGTCACGGGAAATGAAGTGGAATATTCATACATACCACCACATCCAAGTCGGATGTGGAAATTTCTTGAGCAAAATATGCATGAAACCAATGTGATTATGCCCAGATCCATAGGTTAGCCATGGCGAATCTGAGACCCTAGATTAGTGGGAATAATTTCTTTAAAAAAATTAATAATTAATAATTATTAGCATATATATATAAAGAACAAAATATAAATATTGAAAATAATCATCAATAGGTTCAATTTATAAAATTAAGAAGTGTAAAATACAATATTTTTAAACATATACTAATAATTTAATTAAAATGAGATGGTACATCTATCCATCATTACTATAAGAGTTAATCACCTATATATTGTCAGTGTAAAGTTTTTTTATACTGGTAACAAATTATGTCTTTTAATTGTGTCATATCACTGTTAAAAGTAAATGTGTTTATAGTGACATAACACAATAAAAGAAATAATTAATTGTCAGTGTAAAAAAACTTTACACTGATAGTGTATATAAGTGATTAACTTTTATTATAATGTAGATCTATTATTATAGGTCGATGAATGAAACAAATCATATAAGTGAAATTGCTCCAAACACTAATCTTAACTAGTCATTAATTTATGTGAAATCGAGGGTTTTTTTTTTTTTTTTTTTTTTTTTTTTTTGCATAGGATTGTCATTTCATGATCGCCTCATGTTATGCTTGTTTTTAAACCATTTACGCTAGATAGCGAGAATTCCTAGTTTTATGGTTGCTTGAATATGCGACTTAAAATTTACATGGTTGGTTGCATTTCTAATGTGTACGTATTTTATACATATATAGTTGTGATCTCTAGAAAGAAGTTGTGGCTCACCACTAACATTTGTGAAGGATATATATGGCCATATAGGATTTCAAAATGTATTGATTTTGTGTATATGGAGGGTTCAAAGTTAATTTTCTGACTTTGAATAATGATAATTTTGATTCAGTGGTAATTACTTTAAATGATATATGTCTAATTCGATTTAACTAAAGCATCAGCAGATTTAAATTTTGTATATAGAAAAATAAAAATTTTCAATATAAAAGTTAGCTGACTATAGTTAGATCAGCATAAATACAATTGTGGCATCTTAAAAACGAAAAAAACATAAGAAAGAAACTAACTAATTCTACCTTTAATTTTTATGTTCATTTATTTTTTATAGCTTTTGAGAATTTTAATTTATGTAGTGAAAAAAATAATAAATAGCAAGTCTAACTACATACTAAATATAATAAGGTAGACTAGGAAAAATTCAAATTCTACATTGATTAAAGATAAGATAATTAAAAATTAAGTATATAAGTGAGAAATAACTATTATCGTACAAGTCAATTTTGTATGATTAAATTAGGTTCAAATCTATCATTTAAGATGGTATTAAAACTATTTAAATTCACTCTAAAAGAGTTGTCCATCATTCATACACACCAAGCTAGCCCAATAGTATTAGGTATGAGACAATCTATTGGAAAAAATCTAAGTCCCAAATATTAAAGATCATTAAAAACAAAGATCACCTACTATTTATTTACATATTAAGCTCAATAATAATTAGAGAATATATAAATGAGGGACAATCCTCACATTACAAGTTAGTTTTGTAAGATTGAATTATGTTCAAATTCATTTTGTAAGATAATATAAGAGTTATTTAGATTCACTCTAAAAAGATCATCTATCATTGATATATGCATCAAGTCCAATAGTTTTGGGTATAAAAGAGTATATTGGAAAAATAATTCAAAGTCTCACCTATCTTAAATATTAAAAATGATCACTTATCATTTATTTACATTAGTTAAAAATAAAATAATTAAATAATATATAAGTGAAAAATAACACTCACTTTATTATAAAATAATTAAGATTATATTTACTGTGTAAGAGACAAACACAGAAAAACATAGGAGCACCTAAACAAGGAAACATAAGTGCTTTTTACACATTATTCCTAAATTGAAGTAAATAAGAGACAAGGCTAGGTTGGACCATTACTTTTATCCTTTAGATTATTATCAGTCTTATAGATTCTACCATATACATCTTTTCACACAAAATTATTTCTCCCTCAACCTACTCCCACCACTCTTGTGCCAACCACCATACGTGACTGCTATAGTAATTAATCGTGATGCATAGACTCTTGCAGCATTGAGGGAACGCTAAAGGCGTTGAGCCCCTCGCGATCTTAGACTAACAACAATCTTGCAACAATTTACCAGGAACCTCAAATCCAGTTCTTTGATTTTGTAAAGATAGAAGGTTTGGATTCACATAAATTTGGGACCACTAATTGGCAACGTACCAGTAGACTTTGTGTATTTCACGTACACAAATCAAATTTTAACCGGTATATTAGGAGGTCCATTTTTTAGACTAAATATTTATTATAAATAATTAAATTTTATAATAAATTATATCTTTAAATAATGATGGAGAACAATATATAATACTAGCAGCTCTCCACATCTAAGAGATGCAATTTTGAGACTTATTCCATTATTGTCTCTACCAAACAAAAGAATATAAGTAAGTAGGATGCTTGATTTGAGTTTAATGTTACACTTACTTTAAGTGTGTTTGATTTACGTATACAATTATGTAACTTAATTTGTCATATATAAATTTTGTAAATTTTTAAAGATTAGGAATAGTTATATTATTTTAATTTCTATATTAATTAATTCTCATATTAATAAAATAATTATTCAACACTACTCTTCAACTAAAATTGTTGTTCATTTAATTATTATATAACTATTATAATTTATATTGTGTTTTTCTTAATTGTTATATATATATAGAGAGAGGAAAATACAAACACTTTAGTCCTTTTCGCAAGTACTCTAATAATTTCAAGAAAACTTTCAAAACTTATTATTAAATATTTCTAATCTAGAGTTTAAGTAATAAGTAATAATTTTTATATTTTAAAAATAAGAAGCAACATATAATTTAGTCCTTACAGATGTTATAGATTTTCATTTTGTTTTCTATATGTGAAAAATTATTAAATAAATTTCAATACATAAAAATTAATATTATTGATTTAGTCCCTAAAATTGTTAATTATCTTACATATTTCTAATTTAATCCTTATATATGTAACTCATTCTTAAGTTGGTTTCCACACAATCAACACATTCTTTATTTGATCCTCTATGTGTAAGAATCAAATTAAGAAAATACAAATGCTTAGGAACCAAATTAAGAGTATGTTATTGTATAAAGGTTAAATTAACAATGTGTAATAGAGTTAACAATGTCAAAGATCAAGTCAGTATTGTTCATGCAAGTTTAGAAATTTAATAAGTTTTTATGTATAGGGACCAAATTTAGAAATTACAATACATGTAAAGGCTAAATTGTATATGTAACTTATAATTAAATAGTTATATTAAATTTTCAAATGTTGAAAAGTTAATCTAGCAGTTGATCCCACAATATTACATGATAAATGGTTAATGGTTGCTTGATGGGATAAGATTTTTGTTGTTGTTGTGATATTATTAATTATAAAGATGAGTTTTATCATAATGATAAGATTGTTGTTGTCTTGTAACTTTATATTATCACAAAATCAAATTATGGTAATGATTGGTTGGTGGGATGGTTTTGAGACATAAGGCAAGGTTGTTGCATGACTTAATTGGTGGAAATCATATGTTATTGACATGTCATTTAATTGAAAATGTTCACAATTTTACTCAAGGATTAGTTTCAAGTGTGGAGAAAGTTTTTGTATGATATGTAGCCTAATTATAATTAGTTCCTCAATTTTCATTTCAAAATTGTGCACCAATATTAGTGTAAACAAACTTCACATAAATAACATCTTACTATTAATGAGGTTACTCATATGTTAATTGGCTAAATTACTCTCATTGACCATTTTTATGCATGCCTTTAATTATTTGGTAATTAGTCATGTGTGTTATGAGTGTAGGTTTTTATCTTTGAGAAACATTCTAGAGAATTATTTATATTCATTAGATTAAAGTTGTGTTGACAAAATTCTAATCATTGATTTAGGAGGAATCACTAATATAAATAGAGGTGATGTCTTAGAGTTTGTATCAAGTCAAACTCAAGAAGTGATCAATTATAGATATAACATATTCCTCCAAAATTTCTAATATTATTATCAAATATTTCTAATAAAATTTTATTCCAACAATGTGTAGTGTATCTA